AGGATGCGAGCCAAGTGGTTTCCTGCTCATAGCTGGTTTCATTTTGTGCATTTATTCCACATGGGAGATGCTGTGTATGTGGCTCCATGCATCCTAAGACTGCTCCCACATTTTTGTTACTTTATTAAAACCATTACTGGCTCCTATCTGTGATAGGCTGTATTAGACTGTGTGGGAAATATACTGTATGCACTTATCCAACTGCAACAATGTGTCTTGAGGCAGAGATCTAAGCCTACATGTTTATGAGCTGTGAGCTGTGAAGCGACAAACCCTGAGGCCTGAGGTCCATTACGGGACACAATGCCCTCTGTGTGTGAGAGAAACAACCAGCCACTAAAGAACTTTGCCATGGAGCAATGAGACACTTGTGACCATTAATCTATATGCAGAAAATGATGATACTGACAAAATTACTTTGATTTGTGCTTTCAGACAATATAATAATCTGTAACAAAACTTCCACAAAGACAGATTTGACAGTACATGTATTTTAAATCTTGAGACAATAAAAGGACTTACAATAAGAGAATGAGAAGATATGTATTAAAATATTGACAGTATTGGAGGGTTTATACATGAATTTTCACCTTAACAGTTTGTTACTCTTGAGTTCATCTGACAAAAATTAAGAGCCCATATCAGTGCTCATTCTACAGTGCATTACGCACAAGAGTGTACAATCATAAGACTTGCTCTCATCCCTTGACTTTGGCATAGACTCAGATGTGAAATGAACACACCATGTCTGTAGAGTCAACATTTTGCCAAAATCTCTGGGAATGGGTTTCGGTATGGGCATGTCTCAAAAACAATGGTGAGAGAGGTTAAAGGTTAATACGCTTACTTACCCAGTGCACAAAACCACAGTAACAGATATGCCTAAACACACACACACAGGAACTTTTGGTTTTATGAAATGCTCGGTTTCCACTGAATGAGATTAGGGTTAGAGGGCAAACTGTAGAAACAATTGGAAAACCTTACAGCTTGTAAAATAAAAAAGCTTGATATCATGTTGTAAATGACGTAGGACATTTTTTCAGGTTCAGGTACTATGCCATGCCCCGAATCCCTCTGTACATACTGTACATCATGCATCGTGCACATGATTGTAAGCCTGGCTGTTTGCTAGCCTGTGTACACCGCAGTCTGTCCTTGGTGGGACAATAACGGGATTCTGCCTAGCGAGGCCGTGGGAGGAAGGGGACACAAGAGTCAATGAGTGAAGAGTCTTCTGTGATGCGTCAGCACAAGGCCATGATGAGGGTGTAGGAGGAAGGGGCCCTCTAACTCAACAATGCATGGAGGAACAGTCACTCAGTCGCCTCACAGGATGGCACGCACATAACACACATACAACCATAGGTACACGCAGTTACCGATGGTTTAGGTGAAATTAAGTGATTCATTCCCCTACCCCATGATATATGGAACACTGGACCAGAAAACGTCAATCAGTGACTGATTCTGTGGCATAAGGTTTTACTGGTCATCAAGGAAAAGAAAGAATGAATGTTATGGGAAATGTTACAGGACAAATCAGTTATTGAGGAGAGTCTGGAAACCGCTGATGTAAAAAAAACAGGATACATGAATCAGTGCACTGTAAAGTGTGTGTCTATATATATATATAAATGGAAGGTGAAGGTCAGAGTGGTTCCAGGGGTGGTTGGAGCATTCTGATCTGTGACTGGAAGAGTGACTCCAACAGATCCCAGGAACAACTTCAGAACTCTCTGTCTAGAAGAGTGTGGTGCTGGAAACAGCTGAGATACTTGCACAGAACCCTCAAACTCCCAGGCCTCTGGTAGAGGACCCCAGGTTGAGGAAGACACACGCCACCCTGGATGAGAAAGGAATTTTATATACTGTATGTGAATATGTACAGTTCTGTAATTGGCTTAGTGTGAATGTGCACCTAAAAGACAAGGTGCTGGTCATGACAAACTACATCATAGCTAAGAAAAATGCTCTCACACTGAAGGCTTGCATGATATATTTGCAAAATGTGGCCAACATTTCAACCTACCAGTCTTCTTACCTGCCCTGAAGAAGACCAGTGGGTCAAAGCATTTGCTATATTTTACAAATATATCATGCAAGCCTTGAGTGTGCAAGCATTTTTCTCATTTACATACAGTACTGTACAAAAGTCTTAGGCCACCATTAGATTTGTTGGTTTAGCAATGTTATGGTGACTAAAAGGTCCTTATAACCCATATTTATATCTAAATCCATATCTAAATTTTGAACCAGTCTTTTAAAAATCCAGAAGAAAAATCTCTTCCAGAATGAGAGTTACTACTCTGGATAAGCCATAAAACAACTGGTTTCATAGGACCAACTTTGTCAGTAGAAAATTGCCCATATAAATAATTCACAACTGCTCTATGAATTATCAGTAAAAACTGGGAAGACTGGAAATAAGTCTTGCTTCTTGAGATTAATTAAACATTATGATACCTAAGATTAAATTTGAAGAACAGATAACTCAAAATCTTGTCATACAAAAATAATCTGCATACTAGAGACCAACAGGTATATGATCTTTTTTTTTTCAGGTGAACTGACCTTTAAGTTACTTTTGACTTGGCACTTTTAGACGGTGGAGGAGCTTAATAACCTCAGACACATGACGCACAAGTTCAGAGAAATAGCCTATGACATCATTCTTGGAATGATTGAGATGAATGGGGATGGGTGCTTCAACATGAGCATGTGTGTGTTTCAGCAGGTCTGTGTGTGTCCTGAACAGCATCTTTGTGCCAGGGAGTAACCTGTCCAACCACTTCCCTCAGATATCACTAAGATATATTGAGCATGACTAACGATTATCTTGTTGTTAAGTGCTGGGAGAAAACATTCGGGGTATTTTGATTTGGATACGGGTTTCATGCTGGTGCGCTGTGCTGGTGCCCTACGGCTGCATATCAGAAAGGAACTAATTCATGTATTGTTTGAAACCATGCAGTAATGAAGACAATATATATCACTGTGCAGAATGCATCATTATAAGTATGCACTGCATGGCAATGTCAGAACAAGTCCTTGTAGGCATTTAGTGGAATTTATAGAGCTGTAAGTTGAAGACCACACATTAGGGCTGGATTGTAACTCTTTGCAGTTACACCCACACAGACACACACACACACACATATACACTATAATAATGTTTAGCAGCACAGTTTACTGCACCAAACCCTGATGCAACTACAAGCATCCTTGTTTTCATGTCCATCCGAGGGGCTGCATACATTTCATTTTGTTTTAAATAAACACAAATACTCAACAAATTTGTCATCATTTTTGAACAGTTGTGTCTCATTCATATACATGTTATAAATTATAGAAATAAGTGACACTGAATGACCAAAACATTACAGTATGATGTAAAGATTCAACAACTTTCAGACCTCTATCCTAAACCCAAACTTTGACAAATTGCCTGACATCAAGAAACCTGACCAACAATCCACTTTTTAAATCAACTGAATTTAGGTCTAAGCCTCAAACAAGCTGCATGAACTCTACATGCAGATCCTCCAATGTAGGCCCAGTGTCAAAATGCCTGAAATATGAGGATATCAGTGCACTCTTAACCTCCCTTTTACCCTCCCAGCCCAAAGTGCTCACCCCTCCTCAGCATTTCTGACCCTTAACTAACCCTTGAGTGGTGAACAGGGTCAGAGTTCACCACCTGGGGTTTCCCTTTTCAAACGTAGCCATGATAACGAGGGCTGAGGCAGTTCTGACAGTGATACAAGCTTGTGCACACATGCACACATCAGAAAATGTCTCACACAGAGCTTCAGGAAAACGCCTGCTTAGGTTTGAACTCACAAGTGGGGGTCAAAATTCTTGAGCAGAAAGAGACCCCTCAAGTTTTCACCTGTTAGTTCTTCCCATTTGCACCCAATAAAGTTTTCTCAATATCACCAAAACACTGCCATTTCAACTGACAGAAGGAGTTTCCATTTTGCCAAGAGGAGGGGAAGGGGATGACACTGACACACAACCCTTCCTTTCACTCATTTTTGTCTTTTTTTTCCTCTTTTTGTCTGTTGGGGCAGAGGGGTGGGATGGCTGTCTGCTCAGCGCCAGGGGCTCTACCAACAATACAGTTCAGGTCAGAGAGAAGCCGTGAAAGAGAGAAACACACAGAACCAGAGAGAGGGTGAGAAGGCACAACAGAAAGATGAGGAAAATAAAGATGCATAAACAAGAGAAGAAGAAAATGTCAGAAAGGGACTGCTGTGACACTGGAGCCTCAAGGCCCTTCTGAATGCAGGGTGTGGCTGATCTCTACCAGGGTGAGGGGGGGTATCACAGTTGCATTTGACTCTTCTTGTTGCACTATTTCCCATTTTTCTCTCCATTTGCCATTGACAAAAAAGCAGAGATAAATTCCTGGTTGCAACAGACCATCAAAGTTCTATTATTGTACATCCACAAACTGCATTGAGCTGTACACATTTTCTATGCACTGCAATGCACTTTGAACTGCAAACGCATGGCACTGCATTTCTGAACTAGCTGATTAGTTATTTAACTGACTTTGGTTCCACCACTGTCCATCCATGGTTGAGGCACACTGCACCACAAGTCTACATATATCCAAGGGTATTTATGCCAAGCCAGCAGTGACTCAGGTGTGGAACAACAGTGACAATCTTGTGACGCTTTCACTGCCCTGACATTGCTATTTCATGTTGTTGGTTTTCACAGAAGTTGAATCATCAGGTGAAAGCTAATTTCCGCTGGTCTGCGTGAAAAAAGACAAACATGAATGAAACGGTGAGTGGAAGGAGAGAATGAATAACAGCAGCATGTAGGTGTAAACTATGAGCAGCTGTGCATTTGTTTTTTTTTGACAGAAGCACGTGGAAAATGTAGGCACTAGGACCTGCAGTGAGCCATATAAGAGGGAGGGAGCAGCTTTGGGACTCCTCTTACTAAACTTTAGAACAATCCATTTCCCAAAGAGTGTGGGAGGGAGACAGACAGAAGTGGATGGCCCAAGACCTGGACCCACAGCTTTAAAAGTAGGAGCGGGATTTGGAGTTTGGGATAATTCTGCCCCTGGCCTGGAGAAAGTGAGGTGGAATATAACAGTTCAGCTGGAAGTTAGAGAGAGGAGAGAAGGAGCATTAACAGCGTGGTGAGTCCTGCTTTCAATTTCTTTCAAAACTCTAAACATGGTGTGAATTTGTGGGGGGTGTGCAAATAGGACAGAAAAAAGAAGAGAGACAACAAAAGTTTCTCACATAAAATTGACTCTGAAGTTTTCTTCATACAGTACCTGTCATTGAGTGAGAGTGGAGCCTCAGAATAGGCTGAGCTCAGTTAGTCGTATCTTGGGGGGAGAACATTCTAGCTGACTACAACACACAGATGTTTACTTGAGTGAATGTGATGAATGTAAAGTTTGTGTTGATTTGTTCTTTTAACTCTTTCAGTCAAAGACAGTAGTTCTTCAGGTTTTATGCAGATGGAGAGGGGGAATAGAAGAAGAGAGAGTATAGAAAGAAAGAGAGAACAGAGGTGAGGATGAGGAAAAGAGGGGTTCTCCAAACTTCAGTGGGAACCAGTTCACTGTTCAGAAAACTCTTGGGACATCAGGTTACCTTCTTTCTTTCTCGACCTCTCTCTTTTTTCTATTTGTCTCTTTCTCCCCCTCATTTTCTATCTGTCTTTCTCGCCGATCATATTACACAACCCTCAAAGGACTTGAAGATTCAGATGAGCTCCAATGTCCAACATGAAGTATGTTGCTGAGGTTATCCCTATGTCTGGGTGGGGCCTGGGACTTGCATGGGTGTGCAGCTGACCTTTTTTTAACATTTGAATTTGTATATTTGTGTGTAATTATATATGTGTATGCAAGCGTGTGCGCTAAACACAGACCTCATGCCTGCCACTCCTACTAGGGAATTCCTTTCGGGCTTTAACAGGAGAGGAATGTCACCATGGACCAGCATTTACGAACACAAACAAACATTACACAGAGAGAGAGAGAGCTTCTACACTGGCCTACAGGTGCAGCTCTTTGGTCAGCCATGTTAGACCTGTTGCATTGTTTAGAACTAAAAAAAAAAGTTGTTGGTAGAGATATGTCAGCTCATATTTTTATCACATGCACATAGTCTATAAACATTCTCTGCTTCTTGAGCATTGTACTGTATGTGTGCATGCGTTCTGTGCTGCATAAGAAAACGTACCCAAACCCTAAACGCAGGCCAGCAAGTAAAGCTCTCTGAGGAGAAAGGTGATCCGGTCTGTGCAAAAATAAAGATTTTATTGTTTACAAGCTTCAATTTTGCTACCAGTGTGCTCTGGAGGGGAACTGGCAGAGTTTTCATCACCTCTCTGTTGGTGAACAGAGGAAGTGAAAAGCAATCTGGCTGTATATCTTAGATGACATCTCAGCAGATATTATACTTTGTCTATGTGGTTCTCTTAAAGTTAGATTTTGTTTCCCTGTAAAGTTCAGCTTTATAAATTTGATGGCATGTGTCCTCTTTTTGGGGGGAAAATCATTAGCCAAACAAGAGACAACTACATTCTATTCTAAGGCACCCCTTGTCTTGACACGCTACGCACAGACGGAGAACATTTTAGCATAGAGCCATTCAAAGCATTTCATTATCACTGTTCTGTCATGGCTGTGACAGTGACACTGACTGACAGCCTGGCAACAGCCTACAAAACTGACAACAGTGATGCCACAAAACAAAACAAATATGTCCACTAAGACGTGTTAGCATCATTTTATAGAGAGCTTAAACATTTCTGCATGCCACAGTTAGTTATCATTGATGAGGAACTCCTCTTTTCAGTACCACTGCTAATATTTAACCACCTGTCCCTTGTGATCTATGCTTAAATCTTTCTGTTTACAATGTATCTTGGCTACCCTGCTGTGAGTCACACAGAATAATTAATACTAATGATAATATTTATCATTTAGCTTCAGTGGCAATCCCACCCACTATCTTTTTATGTTCCAAAGAATTCATTTTTGTGATATCAGTAATTGTGGTCAGTGCTTAAAATAGAAATTGTCACACATTAAAAGAGTCTTCAAACCCAGAGGTGCACCCAATGACATTGTTAAAACTGCTTAAGCCACATGAACTACTTCATGTATGTGTATGGAAGGCAGATGGACAGTGCTGTTTTCCCCTGCAGACAAAGATGTCTGTGATTATTCATGACCCTCTCAGGTTTCCCTTTGAAGCTGAATTACAGCTTTCCCTATGTTAGTATTTGTGTGCGCATGTGTGTGCATATGTGTGTGTGTGTGTGTGTGTGTGTGCGTGAGAGAGAGAGAGAGAGAGAGAGAGAGAGAGAGAGAGAGGCATGAAATAAAGGGTAACATTTAACAATGGGGCACACAAATTCTTGGGTAGTTACTATGGTACTAATCAAATGATAACTGTGAATACATTAGTTTAGTCAGTTGCCCCCATGAAGTAAAGTGGAGCATTGTCCTATTAAAGTGTGGTGTAGTTATTGAGTTTTACCTGCAAATGCTCCAGAGAAAGCATGCATTTTAAAAAGTGATACCATATTTAGTTCATGTTTACATGCAATTCATGTGACATTCACTAAAACAGGCTAGATTCTTGTCAGTTAAATGGCGAGCTCAACAGTAGTTTATATTTGTTGCTGACTCATTCCTTGGTATAGCAGGAGTTTGGGTATGTTGTAGAGCTGTATTTACAGAAAGGGTTTATGATATGCAATAAGGGATATATATTTTACTGCATTAATGCATTGATCATTTATTATCCTACCTGTGTTTTACAAGTTTTCTTTACCATGCACATTACTGTCAGATTTCAAGATGTGTTTGTATTCAACTGCTCTTTTGCTTGATTCTCTGTTGTGTGGAGATGTGACATGATGCCACCAAATCAACAGGCATGACGCTGTACTCACTCACTAAAATACATAAAGAATGGAATGATGTGAGTTGTCCAGACTGCAAAATGTTGTATAGGACACCTGGGCCGGGAGAGGCTGTGACAGTACACCTGGCTGTCAGTTTCACTCTTTACCTTGATGGCCTAAAACCAACCACACCAACTCTTAAAGGTGCATTTACTAAAATTGAAGAAGGATTGAAAAGGTCACATTCTTTGGATAGAAAGAATGGACACTGAAAGAGCCAAAACCAGGCTTAACATCAGTTTGGCTTTTTGAGATGGAGAGCATTAAATGCAGCCAAAGGCCTCTGATTTGCTTCAGATGTGACGTTCTTCCTTCTGGATGTGTTAGCATTTGAAGCAAATGTATTTGTTTTGGCAACATTAATGGCCTAGCATGATCAATGATCATGATTTCACCTTTGTATTGAATAACTATGATTTTAATTTCCGAGTAACTCAAGCTCTGTGTAACGTTAGTGCTTTGTGTCACATTACCAGAGTGTTCTACTGGACTGACAAATTTACGCATTAGTCACCCAGTGCTAGATTCAAACCGGAGACTTTATTTTGCAGTTTGTCGCATCTGTAGTTTACATTGCTGCTAGGAAACAGGATGTGAGGGGAGGGGCAAAAAGAGTTTAGGAGAAGCAAATGGCATCACTTTGAGTTTCACTATGTATGTAGAGTAGCTTCAAAGTTCTACTAAAATCATAAAAATGATCAATCATAAAACAAACCATGATAAATGTAAATAAATAATTTACAATAAATAGTCCAGCAATTAGCATGTTTAACTTAACACAGCAAATAATGCTGCTATAACCTTTACTGTTGAGCTTACAGTACTAGGTTAATAGTAGGATTATCTGAGTTACAGCACAATAAGAGATGAGGAGTTGCATTGTGACATTTTCTTTCAGCAAGTTCTCCATTTCAGTTATATTTTTCTGCCCTCTTTAGATCATTTTATAGCATTATTGCACTCAGAAAATAGTCAGTTTCCATAAACAACTTTGGTTGTCCTAGCAGTTACATTTTAATCATTAATGCAGTGTAACACTTCAGACACTTGCAGCTTAATATAGGCTGAGCACTAAGAATGACTGAAACTATGTGATGGGATGTAATACATGGCAAATTGCATTACTAATAATGCCCTAAAATACTGCACTGCTCCACATATCATAACTTGACATGAGCACTGCAATCGTTACTAGAATATCTGGGACAGTGCCAGTTGGCAAGAAAAAAATATTTAAGGGTTTGTTCACACAGAATGATGCTGTTTGATCTCTCCATCTTACAAGATTTCCGGAGACCACAAAAACATGACGCACACTAATCACAGTCTTCTGCCCATCAGTGGTTAGTGAAGAATACATGTACTGTATATACCAGCATCTGTTTGCAGTAGATGACTATGAATCATGCACAAGCTTTACCTGATTATCCTCTATTCTTCTTTTTGACATTTTTTTTCAAAAAGTAATGACTTTGACAGCAACCTCATCCTCCTGCTTGGCTTCCTGACTTTAACAATTTTAGCAGCACTGTTAATTAAGCAAGTAGTAGCTACCAAAAAATATCTCATTAGTTTTTTTTATCCTAGGTCCAAAAAACCTGACTTCTTTAACACAAACATTTGCTGAATGGTCTTTTGAATACTGGAAAGTTATGTGGGCCTTTGCATCCTGCTGTTAGGCCTTATGTAAGGTGCAGTATTGTAGTAGTAGTAGCCATGTCATGTATCAGTCAAAATATAACACAGTATGATAAGATGTATGAAAATAAGTTAAAGCATTATCTCAAACTTGAATAACAATTTTTAATTTGTATTATCGTCTATTGTTTTACATTAAATTTAGGCAGAAGACAACAAAGTTGACAGTGTCTGTTATTTTAAATAAAAAAAAACTACATATGATTAAGCAAAAGAGAAATCTTTCTGTCATTGTGAGAAGTACTGTAGGTAAAGTTTCATCATCTAGAACAAGATTAAAATGAAAAATGAAAAAATGATTGACTTTGTAAACCCAGGCCATGCTGTGGCTATATATTGGGTCACTAGAGCGGCAGGTCAATGCACAGAATCGGGTAAGAACATCTGTTGTAAAGTCAACCAGCTGAAGTTTTCTGTCTGGAATCAGCGGGAGAGGTAAGAGGTCAGAGGTCAGGTTCGGGGTTACATTTTTGTTTGTGGAGAGAAATGGCCATCGAGAGGTCGCTG